CCCATCATTATTTCTTCAAGTAGGTTTTCAGTTTCTTGCTCTCTCTTTTTTCCTTCTGGTACCCCTGTGATGTGAATGTTGGTATGCTTGATGTTCTCCCAGAGGCCCCTTAAACTCTCCTCTTTTTTTTGTATTGTTTCTTTTTTGTTTTGTTTTGTTTTTTCTGTTCTGATTGGGTGTTTTCTACTACCTTATCTTCCAAATTGCTGATTTGAACCTCTGCTTCACCTAATCTGTTGATTCCCTGTAATGTTTTCTTTATTTCAGTTACTGTGTTCTTCATTTCTGACTAGTTCTTTTATGTTTTCTAGCTCTAATTGTATGTTTCCAATCTCTTTGTTGACGGTCTGACTGAGATCACTGAGCATCCTTATAACCAGTGTTTTGAACTCTGCATCTGGCAGATTGCTTGTCTCTGTTTTGTTTAGTTCTTTTTCTGGAGCTTTGTTCTCTTCTTTCATTTGGGACATGTTTCTTTGTCTCCCCATTTTGGCTGCCTGCCCGTGTTTGTTTCCATGTATTATGTAGAGCTGGTATATCTCCCAGTCTTAGTAAAGTGAACTCGTGTAGTAGGTGTGCTGTGGGGCTGGTTCAGTGGTACAGTCCTGGTCACCTGAGCTGGGTGCTCCAGGTGTCACCCTTGTTCGGTTGTGTGTGCCCTCTTGCTGTGGTTGAGCCTTGGTTGCTGTTTGCACATCAGTGGGAGGGACTGACCCTCAGGCTGATTGGTTGTGAGAATTGGCTGTGACTACAGTGGAGGAGCTGCTGTGCAGGGGCTGACCTTACAGAGCAGAGTTCACTTTAGCAGGGCTCTGGTGCCTGCCCAGTCTGCCCTTTGTGTGTATCATTTTTGAGGTGACCAGTGCCAGCCCCGGGCCTTCTGGGAGGGACCCCACTGTAGGCCAAGCTCAGCCACAGCCTGTGCCCTGCCCATGGCCACCTGGCATGAGCCACAAATCGATTTGCAGATGTCTTCCATCCTGCTGGGCTTGGAGATGCCTGGGAGAGGGTAAGCTGTGAACTGAAGCCAGCTGCTGCTTATACCAGTCTTTTTTTTTAAAGATTTTTATTGGGGAATTGGGAGGAGGGGAACAGACAAGTTGCTGTCGTTTTGTTCTTCAGTCTAGTTGTGGAGAACGTTGCTTCACTGGCCCAAGTTGGCACCATCATTGCGCTCTTCCCAGGCGAG